AAACCAAACTTGCCCATTAAGTTTCTTAGGTTATTTTGTTGTGCAGGGTGTATGATAAGGTTTTACAATTTGTTGGTTGTGTGGAGACGCGGGCTGGAGGGTAGTGGTTTGTTTAGGTCTGATGTTGTTGTACAGTTTAGCAGGTTTTCAAGGTTATATATGGGCACATGTTTTGTATTTGATGGAAGTGGTAAGGTGTGGTTTTGTTTTGATGTAGCAGGCTACGGTTACACAAGATTTAGCATAGTGTGTGGTGTGTTTTGATGGAGTTGTTTTGTGAAACATCATGTTATCTTTCTCTTTCCCATTTAGACCAACAATGTAACTTGGTTTTATGTTGTATGTTTGGCCATTTAACTTTTTTTTGGTTAAATTATGGGCCTTTATTATCTCTTTTTTTTATGTGGAATTTTTGTAATAAAATAAACTTGATGGATATTTGGTTTTAAAATGAGCATATGGATATCAATGTGAGAAAATAGATAGAATTAAATATGTATTTTGGACAATTTAAATGAATAATGGAAATGAATTTTGAATAAATATGGATAATGGGCATAAGGGAATAGATATGATTCGGGTAATTGGACATGGATATGAAAATGGATAATTGGTTTTCAGAAGTGGATGAAATGGGCAATGAATTGAAATGAATATTAAAATGAAAATGGTTATTGGTTAGAAAAAATGACTAGTTGAATTGAATATGAATTGAAACTTAGAAATAAAATTAGAAGTGGAATTGAACTTGAACTGAATAGAAATAGAACCGAAACTTGAATTGGATAGAATATGAAATTGGCCATGAGTCAATCTCTGAATCAATCCTCTTAAATTTGCCACTTGCACTACTACACAAAATTTCCACCATGAATCAAATACTCAGTCAACAGTATGCCTTGAAGTCATAAGAACATAACTTAAAACATGAATTGTATGACAATTGTTCCAAAAACACCCTAATTGAAACAAACTGATCTCTGATGATCCACAATCATGACACATCTCAATTCAACACAGGCAGATAACCTGATCCACAGACAACCTGAGTTTACACAAAAACCCTAATTGAAAACACAATCACACACTACTCAAATTATGCATACTCTGGCCTAATTATGAAATTAATTCTTGCCCAACCAAGATTAGGTCACCTCCAGATGAACTTTAACATATACTGCACTTATTCCTGAATATGAAGGTAATGCACGCTGATGAAGAAAACAACCTGGGATGTTGACAATCAACAAAACCCTAGTTCCCCAATCTTAATCAGAACCATGATGAAACCTTAATCATTTGATGCCTCTTGAGAAATCCTGAAGCAGGTAAACTTGATACTTGATGAATCTTGACAGAGGAAAGCCTTGTATTTGGATGAACTTTGATAGAAATACTCATGATGCTGCAAGCTCAAACTTGAGTGAAAGTACCTCAAAGGAAATAGGAACCCTGAATCAAAGAACCTCTTGATCTCATGCCTTAAAAGCTTTATGAAATGCGGGAATGTGCTATAGATGATGTAAAGTGCAAAAATGCAAGTTCTAAAATGTCTGGTCAAATTTGGGGTATGACACATGTGAACAACTATTTTTAAAAATTTCAACATTTTTCCTATCATAGTAATATGACACAACATGTCAAGATTTTTTGTGTGTAGAAATTGTATTTTTGGAATGAAAACTACTATTGACTTATTTTTCTTTGAGACAAGCTTGAGATATTTTGTCTTTATCAAAACTAATTTTGGAAAGACATTTTAATTAGACCAAGATTGGATAATTTAGAAATAGCCTTCATACTTATATGACCAACTTATATATGCCATATCTATTTATCTTTTTTGATGAATATGAAATATGAATCAATTGAGAGTTTATCTAAGTCTAAAATATACAAATATTTATTTCTTAATCCAAAGAAAATGGTTTTTCCCGTGGATGATTGGTTTACTTCACACATGTTATATTTGAAAATAACTTCAAATCCAATATCACTTATTTGACTTATATTTAGTAAACTATGTTTAAGACCTTTCACATATTGAACATCCTCAATTTTAGCAGAATAAATATCATCAACGATGTCAATACGTTTGATTTTAGATTTGATAATATTTTCAAAAGTTACAGATCCACCATATTTTTCTTTGAATGATAAGATGCATTTTCAATCTCCAGTAATATATCTTGAGCAACCATTGTCCAAGTACTAAAACTTTTTCTTTTTTTTTTTCTTTCTATAAGACACACTTGTATAAAAAGATACTGGTGATCTGGGTACACATAATGATTTGGATCCTTGATGGTTAATATATTTATAAAATATTTTCTTATTATAACACTTTGATTCATGAAGATCCTGTTTGTCACAGTAAGCCATCTTCTCTTAATTTTCTCAAATATTTTATAATAATACTTCTATTTATGGTGGTTAGGCTTACCATAAGGAGAACATATCTTTTTTCTTATGATAGCAATATGACACAACGTGTCCACACACACACGCACACGTACGCGCACACACACACGTACGCGCACACACATACATATTATAAATTGTGTTCTTATAAAAGAGATTACGTTTCACTTGTTTTTCTTTGAGGAAATTTGACACATTTTGTCTTTATCAAAATTAATTTTGGGAAAATATTTAACTAGATTAAGATTGAATAATTTGAAAATAGTCTTCACAATTATATGACCAACTCGGTTATGGCAGATCCATTTGTCCTTTTCAATGAATATGAAATATGAATCAATTGAAAATTCATCTAAGTCTAAGATATACAAATATTTGTTTCTTGATCTAGAAAATATGGTTTTTGTTGAGGATAATTGTTTTACTCTACACATGTTAAATTTGAAAATAACTTAAAAGTCTTTATCACATAGTTGACGTATACTTAGTAAATTATGTTTAAGACCTTTCACATATTAAACATCTTCAATCTTAGCTGAATAAATCTTACAAATGATACCAATATCTTTGATTTTGGACTAGACATTATTTTTTAAAGTTAATTATCACAATCTTTTTCTTTGAATAATAATAAACAATTTCTATCTTCAGTCATATATCTCGAGCATTTGTTGTCAAGTATCAAAACTTTTTCTTGTCTAGAAGACATTTTTGTGTCATAAGTTAGTAGTGATTTGGGTATCTACAGTGATTTAGATCCTTGATGGTTAATGTCTTTATAGAACATTTTCTTATTATAACACTTTGATTCATGATGACCATAGTTGTCCCAATAACAACATCTTTTAATTTTCTCAAAATTTTTATAATAATACTTTGACCCATGACCGTAGATATACCACAATGTTAACATCTCTTTTTGATTTTTTAAAAACTTTTTTCTCATGATAGCAATATGATACAACATGTCCAATTTTTTTTCCAGTAAAAACATTTTTTTAATAATTTTTATCCTCCTTTTTTGGGTACAACAATTTTTTCATACAACTTTTGTATCCTTAGATTTGTATTGTCGACTTTATAGTTGGTGTCTGAATAATATCTATTTGTATCCTTAGATTTGTATTGTCGACTTTCACATTGCCAAATATATTATTTATTTTGCTTCCTATTTTGAGAAATATTGATCATCGTACCAATGTAATATCTCTACTAAAAATGAATTAACCAATCCTATTTATTTCTATTCAATAACACACCTCAAATAAAAAATAAGATCACAATGTTAAATATATTTACACAATAGTTGTTATCTTTAAAACACTATTTTTTTCTCAACAACTTAAGAAATCCACAAATAAAAGATTTAATATTAAAAAAATTATAATTTTTCAATAAAATATTCAAAATATTCGAAATAATTTTAATATGTATCCATATCCCACAAGTTAAACATACTAGAGTCATGCTAAGTTGTACTATCACTATAATAAAAGTTAGCCTTGCATTAAAATCATGCTAACTTTGTACCCTAACTACACATGCTAAAAACTTACAACTTAAAAGTTAATATTAAAAACCAATAAAAAATTGATTATACTACAAAGTTTCTATATTTAATTTTTAAACTTGTAAGCACAAATTTTTGATAATAATGATTTTTTTTGGCGCGTGAAGATGTAGTAGTAGTAGGAAAGAAGAACGTGGTGATGCGCTGGGTCACAGAAAGCTGCACTGCAGGGGACACTCTCTTCGCAACATAAATATGCGCCGCGACAACATTTAATATTCATTTTTTCTTTTCCTTTTTCTTTTTTTCTTTTTTTACATAATATTATTATTTATTTTTTTTACTACGTTATAGTTAGTTCCATTTCTTCATCTTCCATAACACTCTCCCACGCTTCTCTCAATCCTCTTTGCCCTAGATCCATGCTTTCTTTCTTCAACCCCTCCTTCTTTTTTCAACTTCCTTTTTTACCCTTTTCACCTTTTCTCTCTAACCTCTATATTCAACTTACACAACCTTCAAATTCTCATTTTCAGTTTCGTTTTCAAGAGGATCTGGTTCTTGTAAAGTTGTAAATTACAAGTCTTTGCTATATTCTGCATTGGTTTTTCACTTGTCAAATTGTTGTACTGTGCAATTAACTCTCATTTCTAGTTTTTTTTTTGGTTAAAGTGGGTAGAGTATAAATTAATGATTTTTTTAAAGATTTATGTGGTTTGATTTGTTGAACTTGAGTCTTTTGTAGCTGGTTAGGTTTTTGTATTTTATTGGTTTTTTTAGGGTTTTGTCTTATGTTTCGTGATTTGTGACCAAATTTGAGATGAGATGAGATTGTGGATACTTGGTTGCTATTGTATTTGTAGCTAACATTGTGTACTTTCTCATGAAAAATTAGTTTACTTTTATATTTAGGTGATATTTAAAGAAGTGTTATTGCTTAATTTGGTTGTTATTTATAGTTTTGAGTACTAATGAAGAGTATAATAGGATAGGATATTGGGAATGCTATTGAGGGGTGGAAATTGATATTGAAGTTTAGTTTTGTGGGAAGGGGTGATTTTTGGGGATAATGGGTTGCATGTGTTGCAAGCCTTCTGCAATTGAGGATAGTAATGAGAGTCCGAGGGAGCGTTTGTCGAACAAAGCTGTGGTTGATTCGCGTGTGTCTAGTAGAGGGACTTCCTCGAGGAGGGAGGAAGTGTATAGGGTGAAGGATAGAGGTGATAGTAACAATGATGCGAGAACGGCATTAATTGATAAACAAGGACAAGGGAATGGGTCAGTTAGAGTTCATGGTGATAATTTTGAAAGGAAGAGGGAGAAAATGGAGTATGTTGTTGCTCAACATCCAGGGATTGGTACTGTTCCGAAAGCCTTGGAAGGAGAACATGTTGCGGCTGGATGGCCGTCATGGCTGGCTGCTGTTGCTGGTGAAGCAATCAAGGGATGGCTGCCACGACGTGCTGATTCTTTTGAGAAATTAGATAAAGTATGATTCTTTCTATTATTTATCTCTCTGCTTAATTAATGATAATGCTTTTTGGATTGATGCAGATAACCTATTTTCCCTTTGCTTTTTTGTTACATTTGCAATAGCCAATAGTGTTTTGATTTAAATGTTAAAAAATATCAATTTCATATTCTTTAGTTGTTTAATGTTAACTTTTCCTAATCTTTTTGCCTCCTTTTGTCCTTCAATTTTCTACATTGCTAAATCTACTTTATACCTGTGGTGGCAATTGAATTTGAAATGCTAATGGCGAGAAACAAATATAGGGCTTGTGTACTTGTAGCTTTTAAATATTTCTACAGAAGTGCTGTCAATCATGTATTGCAGAAAACACCAATTTGTTCAAATTCTGCTACACTACAATACTAAAGTGCCACTATTTAACAACCCCGCATTAAATAATAGCATCATGGAACAATAGCGATTTGTTCAAATTCTACTATAGCTGCTATTTAACAACACTGTTCTACATTTACCTGTTCTCCTTGATTTCTTATTATGCCAATGTGAAAACTACCTTCTGTAGCTGTTTTGTCACATATGATAAACATTTCCTCTCTCTGACATGCAGATTGGTCAGGGAACTTATAGTAATGTTTATAGAGCCCGTGATCTTGAACAAAGAAAGATTGTTGCTTTGAAAAAAGTGAGGTTTGATAATCTTGAGCCTGAGAGTGTTCGCTTCATGGCAAGGGAAATTCACATTCTACGTAGGCTTGATCATCCAAACGTCATTAAACTGGAAGGCTTGGTTACATCAAGGATGTCGTGCAGTTTATACCTTGTGTTTGAGTACATGGAGCACGACTTGGCTGGGCTTGCATCACATCCTGGACTCAAGTTTACAGAGTCACAGGTAATTTCGGAAGCTTCTTGTTTTTTATTTCTCTCTGTGCATTTTACTGGAAATGTAACCTATCACATGTTGCTACCACTAATTATTCTTTGATGTGATATTCAACCATCTGTTTTTTTTATCCTTTTTTTTTTAAATTTTAATTTCTTCTATTTGTACTTGTATAAGCTAATTCTTGTATGTAGAATTTCCTACTTATTTCCAAAACAAATTCACTGAAATTTAATTAAATTTTTGTTTTTGTAAAGTAAATGGAAGAAACTAAGTTAAAGAATTAAATTTCCACCGGAGACTAACATAATTATCGAATTTAATTTGTTTTTCTTTTGTTTTTAAGACAAATTTAATTTGTTATTGGAACTTGGCAGGTTAAATGTTACATGCAGCAACTTTTACGCGGTCTTGATCACTGCCACAGCCGTGGTGTGCTGCACCGTGACATTAAGGGTTCCAATCTTTTGATTGACAACAATGGAGTATTGAAAATTGCTGACTTTGGTTTGGCGAGCTTTTTTGATCCCAATCTAAATCAGCCACTCACAAGCCGAGTTGTCACTCTTTGGTATAGGCCACCTGAGCTTTTACTTGGAGCTACTTATTATGCCACTGCTGTAGATTTATGGAGTACAGGTTGCATACTTGCTGAGCTGTATGCTGGCAAGCCTATAATGCCTGGTAGAACTGAGGTATGTCCGCTTAGATGTTCCCATTCAAATGTTGTATTTTACTACCTCCTGTCCTTTTTATAAGAAACACTTCACTTTTCTAGATTCATTAAATAATTAATGTATCTGGTCTATAATGCACACCAGATATATTGATTATTTAATGAATCTAAAAAAGTGAAGTGTTCCTTATAAAAAGGACCGGAGGGAGTATCATTTTTTTTTCATTTCATCTGTTAAAATTGACTATGATTTATAATGAATATCCATTCTTCAAAAATTTTCAAAGAATTAAATTTAGATTAATGACTAGTGTATTGAACATTGTGGCTTTTCAAAATTCATCCAACACCAATTAATCTATGTTAACAATAAACTATTGGTAGTTGCTGAAAATACACCAATCCATTAATATTATGTTATTTACAATTTACTAGTTCTTTTATGGTTTTCTGCATGAAACTTGATTCTATAATTAAATGATTTGAAACTACAACTTTGTCTTGTAGGTGGAGCAATTACATAAAATTTTTAAACTTTGTGGTTCGCCTTCTGAGGACTATTGGAGAAAATCAAAATTGCCTCATGCAACTATATTTAAGCCTCAACAACCCTATAGGCGTTGTGTTGCTGAAACATTCAAGGACTTTCCTGCACCTGCAATAGACCTGATAGAGACACTCTTGTCCATAGACCCTGCTGATCGTGGAACTTCAGCATCTGCTTTGATGAGTGAGGTGTGAATTTTTGTGTCCTTTATTGTTGTTTAATCTTTTCTTTCATTGAAACAGTACATATAAATAGTGGAGTCTGGTTTTATTTAAAACATCAATTTAACTTAATTTACAAATGTAGGTTTTGTGTTCATCTTAAAAAGCAATTCTAGATTGTTTTGGTTTCATATTGGTGCATATATATGTTTGTTACAGACAAAGTTTAACGATTATGCACTTACCATGTAAAAAAGGTTTACATATTCATCCAATCATATATCATCAGGATGATATTTCTTGAGATATTTTACGGAGAGATATAACGAAGTGGCTACATGATGAGATATGATTTGATGCCTCTGTAAAACTTCTTAAACTGTCAATGCGTAGTCATAAACCTCAAACAAATCCATGCCCCTGTACTGTATTGTCTCTTTATCACGTGTGTTCATGAAAATTACCTTGTATATCAGCAAAGTTATGTGTTAATCTCTTAATTATTGTTTTCAAACTTCAGCATGCCTTGCTGCTGACTATCTCCTTTTTATTTTACAATTCAGTTCTTCTCAATAAAGCCTCTACCATGTGATCCTTCAAGCTTGCCAAAGTATCCTCCTAGCAAAGAATTTGATGCCAAAGTACGGGACGAAGAAGCTAGACGGTAAGTGTTCAAATTTGGCAATTATGCATTGGAGTATAGTGTTAACTTCCAAGCATCCATTCCACTATTTTTTGAAGGCGTATGTTAAAATGATTTCATTCATAGCAATGCTGAATTATATCTGGTTATAAAAATCTGACTGATGCTTGGTAGTTCTACTGAAGTGTTAGCTTAGGTTTTTGGGGTCCTTGTCCCTGAGTGCTGCTAAAGTTTAGTGTAAGAATTTTGTTTATAGTTTTGTTCATTATTTTTTTAGACAAGGGGCAACAGGAAGCAAAGGCCAGAGACATGATCCTGAGAGAAGAGGTGTAAGAGAATCTCGGGCTGTACCTGCACCTGATGCCAATGCTGAACTAGTTGTGTCAATGCAGGTAAAATCATTTTAACTCCGATACTAACCCAACTTGGTCACGGTGATTTGTCATTGCTGTTTATGTATGATGTTCTGTCTACTGAGGTCAATCAACCTTTCAAATGTATGTATTTTGGATAAACACCATGATCAATTAGCCCTTTCATCTTTCAAGTGCATCATTCATTTTTTTTCCCATCTGTTTTTCTTATGTTGAAAACAAATATATATATTTTTTAACAGAAGAGACAAGGTCAGAACTATTCTCAAAGTAGAAGTGAGAAGTTTAACCCTCATCCTGAAGAAGCTGCTTCTGGATTTCCTATTGAACCCCCTAGACCATCACAAGTTGCAGAAGCAAGTGTTGATCCCCAAGCAAATCAACATAAAAGAGCCTCACATTCAGGTCCACTTACTCACCGTGCTGCTTGGGCGAAAGCTGGGAAGAACCAGGACGATGCTCCAAAGATTTCAGTGGGGGGTGACTTATCTACAATCTCGGGCTTAGTTGCAGCCAGGAGGAGTATGCTGTCTGATGATCGCAGAGAAAGTTCTGGATCATCACAAGTGGAGGCTCCAAAACTAATTACTAGGTTCCCAGGTTCCTTCAAAGAGGCCTCTGAATCATTGATGCAACAAAATCAAAATCAGAAGCATCATGTACATGCTTCTCAAAAGGAAGAAGCGAAAGGCAACAACAAAGACCCAAATGTTGTAAGTAGTTGGATTATCTGCCTCTCCTACCTCCTCTCTTCATATATATATACAATCTATTTCTATATTTTGTTGTTTTAGGGTCTCTTACTTTGGTTTGAGAAAAATGGTTTCTATTTTCATTTACGGTTTTCAGTTTTAGGTCCTATATTTGGATAAACAATTCAATTAATGTTTATGTTGCAGGCTGGTTATGGTTCAAAAGGTTATAAAATTCATTATTCTGGTCCATTGCTAGTTCCATCAAGCAACATGGACCAGATGTTGAAAGACCATGACCGCCAAATTCAAGAAGCGGTCCGAAGAGCACGTCTAGACAAGGCAAAAATGCGAAGACTCCAAGCTGAAGGGAACCAGATAAGCAATTCTTTATTTGTTTCCGGCCGTTGAGTTGTAGAATCAGATGCAGCAAAAAAGCATCTTCATTAAGATTAAGAACACATTTTTATTTTTTCCCTTTTTCCTTGTAATTATTCCTTCAGATCAATGTTCCCCCTTGGCCATATGTTAGGTGACTCCATAGCTCATCAGATCTATTTTATCTCCACTTACAGATGCAATTTGTATGGCCTCTTGTAAAGCTTTTAACAACCTTGAGCTTAAGAATATTGGGGGACAATGTCTTCCTTATGTTTAACTTATGATAAAAGTAATTAATCATTATTGGGAAGATGACCAAGTATGTATGTGTATGCATTCTTCTGTGTTTCATGATGCATTATTATTGCTTTAGCATTGTGGTAGGTACATGGTTGCCTCTAAAGCCAAATTCTGGTTTGGTACACTTACAGTCTGTTTGCTTTCCAAAGCTATTAGATGCATACAATTATGCATTATACAGAATCTTTCGAGGGTTACTTGTTATTTTTGCATAAATAAATAATTTACTTTTTACTGCGTTTAATGATATCTGTCCTATAATAAACTGATTAGAAATAAAAATGTGGTCGGAGGTTAGATTCTATCATAATGGTCAATTAAGTCTAAGTGTTAATAATTGAGATTTTCTTATCCCACCTTATGGGTGGAAAAATATTCTTCGAAAAATACATAATGTCTCGGATTTTGGAGAGACATTTTTGGATGTACATTCTCTAAAGTTAAAATGTTAATTGATTTAGATGTACATTCTCTAAAGTCTAAAGTTAAAATGTTAATTGATTCAGAGATGTATTTCTGTAATATTTTAAAACATACAGTATGTATCCTATTCTAAAAATGTTTTACACATTTATTGTTTCGAAAATGCATCTCTGTTTAATGGAGATGCATCTCTGTACCCTATCAGAATATATTATGTTTTGTTTATGGTTATTCAGATGAAGGTGATAGTTTATAAACGTTATGTATTTTGTTATGTAATGAGATTTAAACTATACAATCGATATGTAAAAAATGACATAAATTCAAATAGTCCAAAAATGACGTATATAAATATAGTCGAAATACACGATAAAGTAAAATAAAATCCATAATGATTCCAAAGTACAACTACTATTGTGTATGTTAGACTACATCTTCTGTCCCACCTTGGGCTCCCCGACCTTCAATACCATCGTCCTCTAACACTGTCTTTGATACATCAATGCTTCTCTTGCTTCCGTCATGATGGCATCTTGGGAATGCCTCACATTAGACCCTTAAGGGAAGATACCTCTTTCAATGCTTGTCTGTGCAATCTCCACTATGCAGCGACATCTAGGCAAGACATCATGAGTATGATCTAACTGTGCATGCTCCTCTTCTAGTATTTCTTGATGAGCTGACCTCAGTGGATCTGTAGGAGCAGTCTACACCATATACGAATGTGACACCCTGAAGAACCACATGATGTACCCGTCAGCGTAGCTCCAGTCGTTCTCAACTATGGCACTTCGTGCCTTCTTTGGTACCAGATGACTAAGATAATCATCAAACATGCATACATCTCTCTACGTGTCATAGTAAGAGGAGCAGAGACAACAAGGTGTTTGAGAATGATCTAAGTGTAGTCGAACTGCCGCATCACGCGCTCAGGTAGATGAGGATCAGTGAGACATGATGCACAAACCAACCATCCCGAGTATAACACTATGTCGTCAAATGGTCGCGTCTCACAGTGATCGATATAGTTGTTGAAGTGCATGTCATCGACAACCAAACAGTCAAGATACACTCTGAACGACTCTATCGTCTGGTTCCCTCTAAGCGGAAAAAATGCAGAAGCACGCGACATATCCTCGGTGTAAGTCGACACACACGCCCAGTCAAAGATGCACGAGAAGTGATGGAGGATCCAAGCCTGAAAAGTGTTGGAACACACGAATCATCAGTAATGGCGTTGCAAAAATAAAATAAAAGTGACACAAAAATATTAAAAGGCCAATAAATATTACCGCCAATAATGTGATGCTGTCTGTGACCTGCTTCGTCTTCCACCTACAGCTCTTTGATAACTTCGACTACAAGTAGACCAAATAAGCGGCCTCCATGTGTACTCATGGATTTGTTCGAAGTACCGTATGTAGACGACATCTCTATAAGTGGCACTCTTGTCCACACAAATCGCAGTGCCAACGAAATATAGAAGGTATACTCTCATAATAGACGCTCTATGGAGTCCCACCTGTCCGTCATCACCTCTAGCCTGCTCTTCTCTAAGGAGCTCATATGTATATACCTTTTTTAGGAATTCAAACCTAGCATGAGCTCCTCTAGTTTTTGTATCTCCCTCATGGAAGCCTCTAGGTCAACTCCCAAATAGTCTACCATCAACTTAAGTGTCCCACCTTTGCTAACCCTCCCATGATCTAAACGTTTCCCCCTAATCGGAAGATGCAACAAACACGAAACATCGTCAAGTACGATAGACATCTCGTCAAGCGAGAAATGAAATGACGAGGCCTCAGTGTGCCATCTCTCTACGAATGCATTAAGCATCACATGGTTGACATAACTGGTCATGCACAAGTCCTTTATCCAATATAGGGACAAAGTTTCCTGAAACCACTCCTTATTCTCCTGAGGCAAGTCAGTAATTTTCTGCCCGTGGTTAATAAACTTCAGCGGGTCGCGGTCCTGCAGAAAAATAAATCAATGTCAGAAACTTATAATATAATAATAAACGTAAATTAAAAAGAATGAATCAAACTAATGTTACCTCTCTATCTTAGATATGTTTGACAATATGGTCTAAGTACATAGGTAGCAGTAAATGTCCGAGCTGGCTCGTTATCCTCACCAGTCGGAGGCGGCACTGCCTCAACAACCTCAGCAGTCGGAGGTGGCACTGGCTCATAAGCATCATCATTCGGAGGTGGCACTGGTGCCTCAGGTACCACTGGTGACTCAGGTACCTCTGGTACCTAAATAAGTGAAACATGTCGCCTGCGGGAGGATGAAGGGAGTGATGCGTCAGTAGGTGAAACTCGTTTCCTACGGAAAGAAGAAGATGAAGAAGCATGAGTCCCAGAAATAGTTGCCTCCGCATGGTTAGAGTGAACATGAGCCTCCGAAACCGGACTCTTCTTCCGCCGCACTGATGCATATTGTGCAATCCTCATGTCCCTCATCTATCGCGTCTACCAGCCATAATGCCTGTAAGTAAACCAAAATATTAGTACAAGTAACACTACAAGCAAGAAAAAAAAGACTGATAATTTCTGGAGATGCATCTTTGGCAACTGGAAAACTAAACGTTGAAAAGTTCTGGAGATGCATCTCTAGAATTTTCTGCAACTCTTCAGGTCCTTCAATAGAGGCAATACAGACATACAAACCCCAAAAATAATGGTTTGATTGTTATTTTCAACCAACAACACATGTTTTACAGGATGCATAAACTACCATTCATGCAATTCTTACTCATTTATTACCTAAGTTATCATTTTCTACTCATTTACACAAAAATTCAAAAAACTTATCAAAACATTAAAAATTACAAATTTAGACTTTACTACAATGTTGGATGATGTCTCTGATGTCCTTGATGTTGATTGAAGATCATTTGAGCTTACTTGTTTGATGGAAAAACTTTTGAGTTTGAGAAAGTTGTGTTTTTTTTTAATTGAGGAAGAAGAAGGGTTCTAGTGCGATTTAAACTCCAATACCTTTCGGATATGCATCTCCGAAATATTTTAACGTTAAATCATAATTCTATGAACTCAGGTGCGTTCAGAAATACATCTTCGAAAATTAAAGACTTCGAAAATTAAAGACATTTTAACATTTAAGCGTGGTGTTTTAGTAATATATAAGACGCATTAAGAAATTTTCTAATAATTTTTATATTGGTCATTCCATCTAGAAATTTGTTGTTAGTGGCTTTGGATTAGTCAGCGGGATATCTTTTACAAAATTATTTGTAGAATAGGTGAATACTTTAAATCTATTGTGTCATTACATATTCGCTGAGAAATACATTTTAATCAAAGAGTAAAATAAATAAATAAAGGAAATTTTTTAGATATATTTTAGTTTTAGTTAGGTACCGATATTTGTTAAAGATACATTTTAATCAAAGAGTAAAATAAATAAATAAATAAAGGCAAATTTTAAAATATATTTTAGTTTTAGTTGAGTACCGACGATATTTTCAATGTTAATTGATATAAAATTTTAATTTTTAAAAATAAAATAATATTTAAGAATGATATGGCATTAAATATTATCATTTGATTGGAGGAGAGTATTGATAGCCAACTAACTTCAAGAACATGATACCTTTTCTATTATACTCTCAAATTTAACCATAATATCCTCAGTTGAAAAAAAAAAAAATACAATTTTACTATTGATGATATTAATTTTTGAAATTTTTCAAAAAGTTTATATTTATATCAGTAATTTTAAAATTTTCGATAACATATCAACAATTTCGAAATTATCAATAAAATTAAAAATTTTGTTTGTATATCTTTATCAATAATTTAAAAATATGCAATAGTATATCTATAAATATCTTTATTGGCAATTTTGAAATCTATGATATAAAAAAATTAGATGTTATGAAAAATATTTTTCTAATATTCTTTCCAAGTCTGCCACTTCACCAAAATAAATATATTTTTAGTCTAAAATTTACTTTTTCCAAATAGTTAATCAAATTTAAAAGATAATATTACTATTTGGTTTGTTTACACACCTTTTTAAATGATTTTTTTTTCAATTGGTTAAATTATAACTAAATTTTTCCAAGCTTTTCTTCTTTTTCTCTTTTCTCAATGTTTCAATTCTTTTTTTCTAACTCATCTAATCATCGTTTTCAAGTGAAAAAAGACGTAGGTATACTTTTGGGTTATAGATATGTTTCTAAGATCGTAACCATCAAAATAGTTTATTTCTTAAGGTTAATTCTTCGACAATCTTCTTTTCATTGTGTTTGTTTCAATGCTTGAGTTTTTTCTTTATTG